TTTTTTTTTTTTTTTTTTTTTTTTTTTTTTTTTTTTTGAGAGGGTCTTGCGATGTATTTCAGTCTGGCCTTGAACTCACTGTGTAGACCAGGCTGTCCTCAACACAAGACCTCGGACTCCTGAGTGCTGGATTACAGGTGTGCTCCACAAAAAGGCCGGCCCCCAGCCTTTTAAACTTTTTTTTTTTTTTAGGCAAGGTCTTGCTAAATTGCTGAATTGCCCAGGCTGTGCACAAACTTGGTGTTCTCCTACTTTAGCCTTCCAGAGTGCTGGGATTAAGGTGTGTATCACCGCACCCAGCCTTCTGCTAACTTCTTGACCAGATAATACCCTAAACAAAGATCAAATTGTAGTTCCTTTGTGGAAGAATTGGGTAAAGGTACCTCTCTGCACGCCTTGGTATATAATTTCCCCTCTCTGAGCACCATGTGTAAAATGAAAGTGTTGGACTAGACTAGGCATCAGAGCAACAAGAGACAGTTATTAAGAGCACCAACTTCGGTTTCAGAAGCCCTGACTGTGTGTTCTCTGACACACTCCTTCCTTTTTTAATCAGTAAAATGGGACTCACAGGACTGCTGTGAGGATTAAGTGAGACAATGCAAATACCACTCAAAACAAATATAGTCTGTATAGACTGTATTTTCAAAAAAATTTCTATTAACCAACATCTCAAGACTTCCAGTTGTAATGGTATCACTTTTTCTTCCTCTTCCTCCTCTTCCCACCCCCCACCTCCTCTTCTTCTTCCTACCAGGGATTGAACCTAGGACCTTACGCTTACCGGATAGGCTCAGACACTCACTTCCTTTCTGGGTTCAGTCACCAAACTCCACATGCCTCACATTTAGTAAATTATTTTCTGTTTGCCTTCTGTTTTTCTTGCTGGAGGTGGAACCCAGGGCCTCTGGCATGCTGGGCAGGTGCTCTAACTCTGAGCTACAGCTCTCTGCTTTCCTTCAACTATCTGCCATGCTGTGTGGGGGCAGGGCAGGACTCTCAAATTCTTTAAGAGCCAATTGGAAGCTGAAGACAGAGGCCAATTACTGTGTCCCTTCCGAATACCACAGGCCAACACTGTGAGGTTTATAAACAAGAAAACAGCAAATCAGAGAATCCTGCTCGAATCTATACAGGTAGGAAGCAGTAAAAGATTCAGATACAGAACCATCTGCCTCTAGAATCCGTGTTCTTTCTAGAAGCTTCCACAGTGCTACAACAGAAGTCAAGGATAAATCAGGCATGTTGGTGGTCCAGGCCCACTGCCAAAGGAGGGGTTTGGAAAATGGGAGAAGTCTGCTTAAGTGCTCCCCAGAAGCCTGCTCCACCCCCCTGTGGCTGTTGTTTGTTTCGATGCAGGGAGATAAGATACTTGAAAAGCAGGAACCTCAAGCATTCCGTGCTGGTGTAGTTGGGCATGAGTACCATTTTCTAAGGCTTGGGTGTCATTTTCCTAACCTAACAAGAGGCTTCCTAACAGTAATTGTTGAGGACCAGGCGCTGTGGGAGATGAGATTTCTTAGAGTGACACTGGCACATTCTGGGAGGGGAGTGTGAGAGGTGTTCTGGCAAAGGCAGGGAGGTGCACAGATGGGAAGGCAGCCAGGGCACCCAGAGGAGGCCGAGCCAAAGAAGGAGTCCAAAAGACTTACTGGCCAAGGCCAGGTCACCTGGAGGCTTAGGAAACTAAGGCCTCATTAGGCCTCATTGGCTGCTTAAAGTCACAATTAAGGGGTGGAAGGGAGGGAGGAAATGGGAAAAAAATAAGTAAGGAATACCATGTACAGTTATGAATTCCCTCTGATGAATGTTATCATTATGTATGTCTAAAATGTACCAATAAAGGTTTTGCTTCCCCAAAGAATGTTACAATTAATGGTACTTGAAAGAGTGTGCCTGTTACATACCCTGAGCTCCTATAGGCCCCCTTCTGTGTCAGACTTTACTGATTGTAACCCCACAAGATAGGGTGATCTCAGCATAGCTGAGACGTAGTCATTTTGAGTATAAAAAATCCCTGGACAAAAGAGTCTTTTTGGTGACCCTTTTCAGACCCCGTCCCAGGTTCATTTGCCCAGGAGCTTTTTTGCCTCCACTTTACAATAAATGCTGTTTTCTGCTTTCGCTCTACAATAAATATTTCTGCTCGGTCCTTTTTTGGCTCTACCTTGTAATTCTGGGTTGAAAGAAGAACCCACCAGTCAGTAACTGTTTTGTTTTTCTTTTTTGGTGGTACTGAGGATTGAACCCACACCCTCGTGCATGTAGGCAGGCACTCTACCACTGAGCTACATCTTTGGTCTTTTTAGTTTTTTGTTTTTTGTTTTTTTTTTTTTTTTTTTTTTTTTTTTTTTTTTTTTTTTTTTTTTGCCTCAGCCTCCTGAATAGCTTGGATTACAGTCATGTACCACCATGCCTAGTTTTCTGAGGCTTTGGGTATACCAGGATGAGGAAGTTGGAGTTCATGTTGGGGTAGTGTGCTTTTTGGAGCTGCGGGGGAGCCTCAGGGAGAGCATGGGTGACTGAAGCCTCTGGAAGACTGGAAACATGAGGAATGTTTACCCAGACATCAGGATTCACCTCTGCCCCCTTGAACCCAGGGTCTGCGGTAGCCAGACACTCAGTGAACACCTGCTGGTAGTTCTTGGAAGAGAAATCAGAGCCCACCAAGATGGCAGGCCAGTTTGGGTTTTTAAAAAGTAATATTCATTGGAGGAAGGCAGAACCATATTATAAAAGTATGCATTCATGGGTTGGGGGTTTAGCTCAGTGGTTCTGCCTCCTGCTAAGTGAGGATGAAAAATTCAGGGCAATCACACTGATAAAAGAGCCACAATTCCACTCTCCTCTCCACCCCTGTTATGTTCTATTCCTTTGCACAAGCAGACACTTTCTACCTGTCCTCTGTGTGACTACGACTAGGCCCTGGGCAGGGTCCCAAGAGGACACTGTGACACTGGAATACAGTGGCCTGCTGAGGTGCTTTGTATATTAGACCGCTCCTCCTGAAGGGCCTCAAAGCCAACACTTCCTCCCTGCGGCCGATCCTGACCACTTACCTCGATTATTTCCTTTTTTCATTTCTCTTCTTAGATCACCTCTCCACTTCCTCATAGAGCCTTTATTGCAATCTGAAGCCAGCCATTTTTTTAAATCTGTCTTTCTCCTTTTGAATTTCACCTCCACAAGGGCAGGAACTTTACCTTTTTGTCCACTGCCATATCCCCACAGCTATACCAAAACTAGGACCAGGCTCAAAGCAGGAACTTAGTAAGTGTATTTTACTACAAAGCATATCTTCTTATGATCTGTTTTTCACTTCAGTAATTCTCCTGATCTGAGGCTAAACCTTCCCAATTTGTGCTGTATTTCTGAGTTCCAGAATTTTCATTTGGTGGCTCTTTGTAATTTCTAGTTTTCTATCTTGTTGTATATGTCTTTGAATATATATTAATTTGAAAGTTTCATTGATAATTCCATTATCTGCCTTGATATTCTCTCTCTATATATCATACTGGGGATTGAACTCAGGACCTCTGTACTGAATATCAGCAGTCTCTTATTTTTTGAGTGTCTTGCTAAATTGCAATCCTCCTGTCTCAGCCTCCCAGAGTGCTGGGATTATAGGTATGTGCCATCATTTCTAGCTTTTTTGATGCTCTGGTGGTTTTGTTTCTGAGATTGTCTCACCATGTCATTCAGGCTGGCCATAGGCTCACTTTATTGCCCAGGCTGGCCTCCTCCCAAGCCCCAGTGATCCTCCTGCTTCAGCCTCTCAAGTGCTGGGATTCCAGGTGTGTGCGACCATGCCAGGCCTTAATCTTGATCGTCAGCTTGACTGGTTTGAGAGAGGTGTAGATTAACAAAGCACACTCTGGATGTGTCTAGGTGGGTCATGGGGTGTAATCTTGGGAACTACATCTGGTCCCTGCTCGCTTCCTTCCCCTCTGGGGAACCCTCTAAAACCATGGGCCGAATAAACCGCTCTTCCTTTAAGTTGCAGGTGTCAGGTGTTTCACCTCAGAAATCTAATGTCCTGTTGCTTCTCTTATTTGATTTTTTTGTAATGTCTTCAGTTTTTGTGATGACCAAGCCGTTGTTTCCTATTCACTCCTATTCGTCATGGTCCCAACCCAAAGCCTAGGGAAAGGAGTCTGTTAGGGTATCCCTTTCTCAGGGCATTTTGAACTACTATTTGTTTCCCTTTGCCTTACAAACATCTAGAAAGCTCTGCTCCATTTTAGCTGTTCCTCTGGAGAAAAGCAGCTCCAACAAAGGACTCTCCTCTCTCAAAGCCTCAGTTCTTTCCTGCACTGGTACCTCCTCAACACAGAGCCCCCATGGGCCAGATCTGCGTACTGAATGAATCATTCAGGCATGAAAGGTTTGTGGCCAGGAGTGAATACCTCACCCTCAGTCCTTCTGGTAACCCTCACACTTATTCTGTGCCATGTTCTATGCTGTGCTGGGTTTCAGAGGTGCTAGGTCCTAGACCAGACCACATGCTTAGTGGAAATGATCTTTAGAGCAATGGTCAACACAAGGAGTCCTTGGAGCCCAGAGGAGCAAGGAGTTTCTGAGGGGAAGTAGAGAACTTTTTAATTTTTTGGTAGTGGTGGTGACAACACCACTGTTACACTGAACAACAGTCCTAGCCCTTTTTAAAATTTTGAGACAATGCTAAATGGCTAGGTTGCTAGATTGGGCTCTGGCCTGCCATCTTCCTGCCTCAGCCTCCTAGAGTACTGAAATTATACGTATGCATTATCATGCCCAGATCCAAGCTACATCTTGAAGAACAAAGACGAGTTTGTCTTCCTGGGTGTGGTAGTATGGCCTGAAACCCCAACTACTTGAGAAACCGAGACAGGAAGATCTCAAGTTAGAGGCCAGTCTAACCAATGTAGTGAGACTGACTCAGAATAAATGGGGATGTAGTTCAGTTCAGAGACCATGGGTTCAATTCTTCATTTCACTATATTTTAAAAAAAAAAAAAAATAAAAAAAAAAAGGTTGCCAGGTACAGAACTAAGGAAGGGCTTTTCTTGTAGAGAGGAAATAGATGTGTAAAGGTGCCTGGGCCACCCAGCATGGTGGTGCTCAACTGTAATCCAAGCATTTGGGAGGCTGAGGCAGGAGGATCACTACAGGTTCAAGGCCGGCCTGGACTACATAAAATAATTCAAATCCAGTCTAAAATACATATCAAGACCCTATCTCCAAAAACAAAACAAAACAAAAAAGCGTCCTGGACAGCTTTGCAATGTGAGGTGGATGTGGTTGAAGTTGGAGGTGGTATGTGTGGGTGGGAGAGGATATCACAGGACAGGCGGGACTGAGACTCTCCACCTTGCTAGTTAAGTGCAAAAGTGAAGAGCTAGTGTGACCCAGTGATGGAGCATGCATGAGGTCCTGATTCAGTCCACAGTCCACACACACACACACACACACACACACACACACACACACACAAACACTACTGGGTTTGGTGGTGAGTGATGGAGCACAGGCACTGCGAAATCTTGGCTGTAGCCCAAGCTCTGCCTTGAAATTAGGCTCAATTTTCCCACCTGTGGAATGGGGATTTCTTAGAGCTCTCTAAGCTTAGTGTCTAGGGTTCTGTTTATGGAGGTATAATCAACAGAATGCAACAAGATTTGAAATCTACTTCCTTACTCAGGTACAGACACCTTCCAGACATCCTCTTATGGCCCAAGCCCCAGTTTTCCTTAAAATCCTGCCAGCCAGGGTATGGTGGTGCATACTCGTGGTCCCAGCACTCAGGAGGCTGAGGCAGGAGGATCATGAGTTCATGGTTAGCCTGGACTACAAAGGGAGACCCTGTCTCAAAACACAAAATAAATTTAAGTCAGCAGGAGTAGGGCTGAGGGGTATAACTCAGTGGACCATGTACTGAGCATGTGCAAGGCTCTAGATTCAGTCTCCAGTACCACACAGACAGACAAGACAGTCAGATAATAGATATAGATATAGATTTGTGCTCCCTATATATGATTCATAGATACAGATGTCTAGATGATAGGTAACAGAGACAGAAGATAGACAATAAATATTTATGTCTGGCATCCAAGTATCCCCAGTACCCAGAGCCTGGAGGAACTGTGTACCTCACGGCTGGCCGTAGGGCTCAGCCCACCTCCACACTACTTTGCAAGCAGGGAGAAGATTGCCCAGTGTGCCGGGGCCATTTTGCAGCAAAGCAACCTTGGGCTTCCATGTGGGCCACCGGCCTCCTGGGCCCATGTCCCATCTTGCTGCTGCTTCCCCGGCTCTCAGGCACCCTGAGGATACCGGCCCCCCTGGGTAGGGACAAAGGCAGGGAGAACTTAAGGGGGTTCGGGCGGGGCTCCATGAGCACTGGGGGCTCTTTTCATTTCCCTCACTACCCTCCTCACCCCTCCACTTCCTGCCTTTCTCTCCGCAGTCTTGACTCACTTTTTTCTTTTGAGCTGCCTCAGCCCAGAACTGGAGACCCCCCAACTTGGGTTTTACCCAGGCTTGTGACACGGCCTGACACAGACAAGCAGTACAGGGGCGTCTCCTTAGCTCCTGCCATGTAACCAAGACACCACACGAATGAGCCAGGGATAGTGTGAGGCAGGAGCTGGAAGGCTTGAGATGAGGGAGGGCAGGGAATCAAGAGTTAATTGGTAGCCAGGCATGGTGGCACATGCCAGTAATCCCAGCACTCAGGAGGCTGAAGCAGGAGGATCACTGTGAGTTCGAGACCAGCCTGGGCTACATCGCGAGTTCCAGGTCAGTCTCAATTATAGTGAGACCCTGCCTCAAAAAAAAAAAAAATGTTAATTGGTGAGGGCTGGGTGGTGCCACCGCCTTCAAGCACAAGGTCCTGAAGCTTCAGTTCACTGACCATAAAATGCAAGTACATACACACCATGATGAAAATATACAGTGCATTTTAAGTTTAAAAATCTTTTATGGGAGCCAGGGATTTAGCTCAGTGGTTCCACCACCTGCCTCGTAAGTGCAAGGACCAGAGTTCAATCCCCAGTACAAAAAAAAAAAAAAAAAACTTTTATGGTAAAAGACACATCGCCATTGTCCCCTCCCTCACTTAGAACACACCCATCCCATCGTTCTCACCACTCTGAAGCAGTTTCGGAGTCCTCCTTTGTGTCTTTACTAGGCATGACCCAAACTGCAATGAACACTGCTGCCTAGTGCCAACCGATGAAAAGGCAGGCACATGAAGACTTTACGGCGCGTCTTCATCCACCTTATTCACGGGGCCTGGCACTGTGTGACTGCTGGCTCTTCCCCAAAGTCAAAATGACCATGAAAGGTAAGCATTTTGGATCAATTCCGGGTACCAGGGCAGCCACCACAGTGCAACTGAAGACCATGGAGGGCTTCCGGAACTGCCTCACAAAGTGACGGAGTGACCGTGTCTGCAGCTCCAAGTCCGGGGCCCTATCTTCTACCCCAAGCTTGGCTTGCATGCCACTCACCCCCTGGCCAGAATTCATTATCTGTGGGCCCTAAAATCCAGAGCCTCATTACAGCCACCCCCAGGTCTATAGAAAGGAAGCAGGTCCCTGCCTCACCCCATAGGCCCTCCTTCCTCCCTCTGCTAGTCCCGCCTTCTTCCCTTCCTCCTGGTTCAAAAGCAGCTGAGCTGAAAGAAGCCCACACACAGCCCTGGGTCCATCCCAAAGCTGCCACCAACAGAGCCCAGCAAGATCTTCCAGGATGAATGGCTTCCTCTTCCTCACCATCAGCCTCCTGGTGATGCTTCAGGTAACAGCAGCTCCTCAAAGCCCCTGGCACAACCATCAGAACTCCCCTGACCAGCTTAGCATGGGACAGAGGGACTATAGCCTCCAGGGCACCCAGCCTTCTTACAGAGGCAGAGGCAGGCAAGACTTAAAACAGGGAAACCAGACAAGGGGAGTTCTCTGCCGGGGCTTCCTGCCCCTCTGGCTATTGTCAAGCTACCTGAGGGCTAAAGGCTGATCCAGTCTCAGGGGAAGTAGGAGGCATGGGAGTGTGTTTGTGGATGGCGCGACCCCACAGCATGACTGCGGGTCCTGTTGGGATGCAGTGAGGAAATGTCCAAGCGGAGTTTGTGTGGCTTCTGAAGGTGCTAGGGAGGCCCTGTCCCCAACTTCTGCTGGACAGAAGCTCAAGTGTACAGGAATGAGAGAGACACAGAAGTCTCCCATTCAGCCACCCCAGGAGGCACTTTGGTGCATCCTATGTGCCTAGAGGGGCTTGGAGATGGGAGCCGTGAAGTTCTTATTGGGAACAGCTTACTCAAGCATTAAGGACAGGTTGATCACCATCTGGCCATTTCTGCCACCCCACACCCAGTGACACTGCCAAGGGTGTCCTCCGCCCTCTCACGTGACCTTCACCACCATGGTGGACTCTTCCTCTGTCCAGAAGACAGGGCACTGAGGCTCGAGGAGGCTAAGCCCCCTGCAGTAAAGCCAAGGGCTGCAGCTCCTCTGTCTGTGCGGGAGGAGCTGGTGGCCTGGAGAGATGAAAGGAAGTTTCCATGGTGGAAGGTAGGGGAGAGGAAGGGACCATGTCTGTCCCTGCCTGTGTCAAGGCAGGAAGTAGTCAAACATCCAGACAGGACAAGGAGCAGAAGGTTTATGGAGGCCTGGAGTTGGGAGAGTAATAGGGAGGCTGCGGCCTTAACATATATGAGATTCAAAAGCCCCCTGAGCATACCCTGTTTCTCTTGCAGATGCAAATGGGAGTCTTGGGAAACCAAGCTATGGACTCGGCTATAACCCCAGCCATAACCACAACCATGGCCCCGGGTATAGCCACCACCCTGGCTCCCGCCAAGTCCACAACCCCGCACCTGGGCATTGTCACAGACTCCAGGCCTACAACCATGACCTTAAGAACCACAACCAGGACCCAGACCACAGCCACAACCAGGACCCAGACCACAGCCAGAACCAAAGCCCAAAATGGGGCCCCAGCTCTCAGTGACTTGGGTAGTGGCACGTTCCTTTTCTTACTCCACACCCTCATCCACCTCTTCTACCTCAGCTGAGGCACAGTGTCACCTCTGGCCCTCATCACTAGCCAGAGCCCCTCCCCTCCACCCTTGGAAAAGATGTTAGGGATCCCAGGTGGCAGAAACTCACAGGCAGTGCCATGGGGGTGATGGCCAAAGTGGGGAGGTGTTGAGGTGCAGGGGCAGGTGCCACCCAGCTGAGGGTCAATAAAACTATCTTTGTGTTTGGTGGGGCCCCATGTGTGGTCACTGGACATCACCAGCCCAAAAGCCAAAGAGCTCCCCACACTCCCATCAGCAGAGGTGGCCCCAGGATGCTCCCCCAGCCTGGTGTGTACTGAAGAGGCGCCTCCTTAGAATCATCCCCAAGGGACAAGGTGACCCTCTCCACCCCCTTTGGTCACACTGCTTCTCCTGTCTCCAAGTGGTGCTAACGATCCCAGAGACTATGCCACTGCCACATCCCCAACGCCTTGGACAACCCCAGACTGAGTTCCCCACCTCAGTACCTGGGTGTCACAGAATGATGGATTTGGGGCAATTCCCAGTCCAAGTAACACCTGCCACCTGCCTCTTCTGCGTTCCCAGAAAAACGGCTCACTCATATCATCCACCACCAGCTGTCTCCTCCCCACCCAGCCACAGGCACTGGAAGCAGGAAGGACAAATAACTGCTGTAACCAAGCAGGCTCCTGGGAACAGCTCTCTCCTCTTCCTGCCTACACCTGTCCTCTAAGTGGGTTTAGGACCCCATCCCATCTTGGCTTCTCAGGTTTGAGGCCCAATCTTTAGGCTTTGAGCCCAGAGTTGGAAGAGGTGAAGAGGAGGCCCAGGAACAAGGTTCTTCAGGGCGTGCCTCCCTCCCCTTCATCTCTCCTGCCCAGCCCACTGTAGACCCACCCATGAAGCTGTCACCATTGGATTTTTGTTTGTTTGTTTGGTTTTCTGGGACAGGGGTCTTGCTATGTAGCCCAGGCTGGCCTTGAGCTCTTAACAATCCTCTTGCCTCAGCCTCCTGAGTGCTGGGATTACAGGTGTGTACCACCAGGCTGGGGTTCATAGCTGGACTTGTCTGCTCCGTGGGACATTTTCCTGTTCCACCCTACAGCCTGGTCCTTCCCATCCTGTGTCAGCAGAAGGTCCCTGGCAGCAGGGTTCTGCTCTGCGCAACCCTCCACTGTGTTCTTCCTGTCACTATGTCACTCTGGCTATCAGAATCTGCCACTGAACTATGTGTTCTCTCAGGGTGGGGACCACAAGCCTTGGCCTCTGTGTCCCCACAGCCTGGGGCCACCTGTAGGTCAGAGAAGATCAGAACACAGCCTGTGGGCGACTCATCCCAGTCCAGTGGCCAGGCTCCCTCTGGTGGCGGCGGAGACCATACATCCAAGGCCCAAATAACAGAAAAGCCAGCCTGAGTGTAGCGGGGCAAAGGCCAGTGAACAATCTTCACCCCAAACCCCAAACATCAAGGTACACAGAGATGGAGATACCTGGCATTAGACAATAGCTTATGTCACAACAAAAACCTATAAAAACATTGCACACCAGCAAGAGCCCCTGGGGACGGGGCAGGAGAGGGGTTCAGAGCACGTGGACAGTCCAGATCTGGGAGGCCCTGTCCTCTGCCAGCTCCCACAGCACCACATGGTCCCGGTCGTAACCTCGGCCACCTGAGAGGGGAGGGTTGAGACATGGTCAGAGAGACCTGGGGACAACACTGCCCTCAGCCCCCTCGGTGCCCTCTCCCAGGCAGAGCCCAGATTACCCTTCACATCCAGGATCTGGCCTTCAAACATCTGGCTGCAGATGTGGCCCGATTCATCGATGCTCCACGTCTGGCGCGGCAGGCGGCTCTCGGCCCAGAGCACCACCTTGGAGCCTGGGCTAGGAGGTCCAATCACCTGCAGGCTCATGGTGGGGGCCACCTGAGGCCCAGAGGTCATTAGCACTCTTCTGCCCACAGGGACTCTGCTGTACCCAATGTACCCTGGACACTCGGGGCATTCCTTGGGAATAGGAATCCCTGAATACTTTTTTTTTTTTTTTTTTTTTGGTTTTTTGAGATGGGGTCTCACTATGTAATTGAGACTGACCTGGAACTCACTACGTAGCCCAGGCTGGTCTCAAACTCACAGCAATTCTCCTGCCTCAGCCTCCCAAGTGCTGGGATTACAGGCATGCGCCACCACACCTGGCAGAATACTACTTTTTAAAAATTTAATGTGAGAAACCATAAAAGGGCTGGGAAAATATTAGCTCTTCCATGTTGGATTCCCAAAACATCAGAAAAACCTCCATATTTATTGGCTGTGTGATTTTCAGTAAGTGAAGTGACCTCTCTGTGTTCTGATTTCCTCACCTGTCAAATGGAGAGTAAAGAGGCCCAGCCCACAGTGCTCTCTGAAGATTACACGGAGGCACTGGTGTGAAGGCTTAGCATAGCACCTGGCACTCAGCCAGCAGGCCCTCCCATGTCAAGTGAAGGACAAGACTCCCAGTGGCCTACAAAGCCCTACACCCTCCATAACCTTTCTCAGCTCGTCTCTTGCTGCTTTCTCTCTCCCTCACTTCACTCCAGCCACTCAGGGGGCCTTGCCAGGTCTAGAAATTGCCAGGCACGTTCACACCTCAGGGCCTTTGCACTTGCTGGCCCCTCTTCCCTGAGATATCTGCACAATGCCTGCTTGTCAACTCATCAGACAGGGCTCTTAAAACTCCCTCTCTTCCTTTCTTGATAATTAGATATTTTGCTCATTTAAATTGCTTCTGTCTTTCTCCCCCCTCGCTGAACAAGAATCATTTCTGTCCTGTGACGACTGTAGTCCCAGTACCTGGAACATGGCCTGACACATTCTCAGGAAGCTGTGGAGTATCATTATTAACAGACTCAAATTCTGAACGAGCACAGTAGAACTAGAGGACTCTCAGAAGCACCTGGGTCAACACCAGTTTTGTACACTGAGGCTACAAGAAGAGACTTGCCAGGTGTCCCTGCCAGCATTCTCTACTTCCCAGGGACCTGTGGATCCTCCCTGACTGGCTGGGACATCCCCAGGTGGGTTCTTCAGGCCCTTACTCCGTACCTGGTTCTTTAGCAGCCCATCCTCATAGTACCAGATATAGCTGCCCCCAGCTCGGGGCTCGGAGACTACCACCCGGCCAGCCTTCATGTCCTCCACGTGGTCGGGCACTGCCAGGAATCCTCTCAGGGCAGAATTCCAGAGGCGGAAGTAAGCTCGGCGCTGGTGATGGGGAGAAGCTGAGAGTTAGGGGTCCCCAGGCAAGGATGCCTTCACCACCCTCAACTCTGGCCCCTCTAGGATCAAGCTCCCAAGACAACCTTTTCTCGACTCCGCTTCTAAGTCACCCCTTGTTCCCACAAACACACACATGCACATGAATGTTCCAGCAGCTCTGTGCCCGTGGAGATACCCAGGGAAGTGTGCAACAGGACACAATGACAGGTACAACCATGGTCCACAAGGTGGCCCAGAAATTCACAGAAGATGCAGACTCACGCTTACAATGAAACTCATCCAGCCTAACTAATCACAGGTCTGCCCAGCCTACTGTGGGCCAGGTAATCAAGGCTGCTACAAGAACAGATGTGTGCAGGAATACAGATGTGCAAACACATGCTTATAAGGAGACACACACACACACACACACACACACACACACACACACACACACACACGCACATGCTGAGGAGAGGTCACAATGGGGCACACACCGGACTGTCAGACGTTAGATCTGACTCTAACACAAATCATCAGGAAGTCTCAGATGGCAGCAACAGCAATGACAATAATAAGAACCAGAGCCCACCTGTCAAGCACCATTCTAAGGGCTCTACAGACATTAGAGATCTCAGTCCTCAAACCCACACTATGACCATTTTAAAGATGAGGAAATGGAGGTCCACGGAGGTCCAGTACTTGCCCAAAACTGCAGAGCAAATCCTTGTCCACTTCTCTGGGCCTTTATTTCCCCATCTGTAAAATGTGAGGGTTGGAGATAATCTCCAGGATTTCTTCCAGCAGTGATGTCCTTAGAGTCTGTGAATACAGAGACTACACAAATGCCCTGGTACCAAGACACACACTTGGCAGTGGCTCAGGCTCGGGAATAACAGTCACAAAGACGGTATACACACACATAGGCACACAGAGGCCACTCCAAGGGCACAATGGCCACAAATGATGTCTCATAGCAAGACCCTCAGACAGACACTGTGTGCACACAGACTGTGCACACACACAAGCACAGGCACACACACAGCCATGTCCGTGCCACCACAGAAATGCTTGCATGCAGAAATGAAAACCCATATACGGACAAGCAGACACTGTGTTTATCAAGATGAGGACAGTGACATGTGAGATGATTTTGAGCCCTGCGTGGATCAACTTATTTTTGAAAACCTACGGAGACGTTTTTGGGGTACTGGGGGATTGAACGCAGGGCTACCACTGAGCTACATCCCAGCCCTTTGTTTTTTTTGTTGTTGGTTTTTTTGAGACAGCATCTCACTATGTAGTCGAGACTGACCCAGAACTCACTATGTAGCCCAGGCTGGTCTTGAACTCACAGTGGTCCTCCTGCTTCAGCCTCCTGAGTGCTGGGATTACAAGTGTGCACCACCATGCCAGGCTCTTTGTTTTTAAAAATTTGGTGGTAACGTATTTATTGTGCCTATTAAGAAAAAAATCATACATACACATCAAATTTATGGTTTTATGGATATTATTCCTTAGGAAAAGAATAAAATTTTTAAAATGTGAGTCAAGTTGGCTCACATAATGCTACAGGGCTTTAATCTCCTAGGGTGCTGAGGCAAGAGAGCTGCAAATTCAAGTACAGCCCAGACAGAAGAAAATAAAAAAGGGCGAGATGAAGCTCATTGTGAAGGCCCTGGGTTCAATCCTCAGTAGCACCGAAACAAAAAACAGAAAAGTGAACTGACATAGAGTAAACTGTTAACTAGACAACTGTGCAAGAAGAATGACGACGGAGCCCAATCTGTGACCAAAGTACACCAACGCCGAGCTTGGGAAACACACAGACAGGCACACACCGGACAGACCCACCTGTGTAGCCACCGACATGCGACCCACCTGCTTGATGGGGTAGAGGGAGCCCACCCTCTGGGTGCCGCTGTAGGTCAGCCAGTTGGTGATCTCACAGCTGCTCAGCAGCCACTGGTGGCCCCGGAAGTCACTATGCTCACACAGCACCCACCTGGGCCAGCAGGCGCCACAGACAGAGGAACACAGACAAATGGAGGAGGAGGAGATCAGAATGGTCTTCCCTCCTCTTCTGTCATGCCAGGACTCTTCTGCCTAAAGTCAGGGTCCCAAGCAGAGAGGAGGAGTCTGGGAAGTAGTTTTGGAGTTTGCAGGGCAAGATAGGGTCCTGAGGGGCCCACAGGGACTGGGGTGCAGGCCCTGAGAGCCGGTGATGCTTCTCTGTCTACTTCCCCCTCCTTCCCAGCCTGCAGGTAGGGGACAGGCAGGAGACCCCTGAGATGCCCATCCCTCCGCGCACCTATTCTCGCTAGCAGCCCCCCAACCCGGGCCTCCCCACCCCTGCGCACTCACACGCCCCCCTTGATCCGCACGGACAGCACGTGGTTGTTGAAGCCCTCAGCTTGCAGGCTCCGCACCTCCCCGCTGAGCTCAATCTCCTTCCCCTCGAAGGACTCCAGTCCATACAGGAAAATGGCAGGCTCTGAAAAGTGCTGGGGCCAGCAGAAAAGAGGTGAGGCCACGACTCCTGCCGGACTCTCCAATCTGTCCTTCAGGCCCCTGACCCTCCTAAGCCCACTCACTGACTCCACAAGGCTGCCGGCAGGGTGTCCCCAGACTCACTAACAGCTGTACCAGACTGGCCCTCTGCTTCCCCCTCAAACGTCCTCTCTGGTAAATGGTGCATTTTGATTTGGAGATTTTGGAGTCAGGGTCTCCCTAAGCAACCCAGGCTGGCCTCAAACTCACAGCAACCCTTCTGCCTCAGCCTCCTAAGCACTGGGGTTATAGGCATGTGCGGCCACGCCCAGCAAATGGTGCTTCTGGGAGCAAGGGCCAGGCCGTAACCAGGATCTCACTCTCTAATTTCTTCTTTCCAGCTTCCCTACAACTGCAATAATCACAGTTCCGGTGATAGTAGTTGCGTTCATTTATTCAGCGTTCACTGAGGTGAGATCCTGTGCTGGGTACTTCACCTCATCTCCTCAACAACCGGATCATGATTCCCACTTGGCAGAGGGGAAACTGAGACTGTATGTAAAACTGCTTGCTCGAGGCTCTAAAACTGGGCTTCAGACCCTGGGCCATCTGCTTTCAGGCTACCTGTTCCTAGCTGTACACCTTGGAGCCTGTGGGTGGGCGGCTCTGTGCCTCAGTGTCCACATCTGGCAAACGGAGCTAAGAAGGGCTGTGGTGAGGGTCTGAGGCCTTAGTAAGACGGAAGCTCATGCGTGCTCTGTGCTCAGTGAATATCAGCTGTTCTGACCTGACTAGGTGCCCACTCCAGAGTCAGTCCCTCCACCCTGCAGGTGCTAGTTCTTTAAGAAGGCCCACATCTCTTCCCTGGTCTAAGATGTCACCACTTCTCTGGGTCACTGAAGCAGTCAACCCCTGCCCTGCCCCTCCCATCTGTCCTCCGCAGAGCCACCTCCCCAGCTGGCCCTAACACCCCACCACACACAGACCATCACCCTCTCCCCTCCCCAAAATATCGGCCCCTCTCTCGTCCCTGCACCACTTCTCTATCTGGACACACCTCTTGGCGGGGGAATTTTTAGGAGTGTGTGACCATGGGTCCTTGAAGGCAGAGCTCTGTCTGGTTTTTCAGTGTCCCCAGGACCTATCTCAACAGGTGGTCGATAAATAGGAGCAAGCTGAGCTAGCTTGGCAGCCCCAGTGCAGAAGGGCAGTTCTGAAAAGCTGTTCAACCCAGCCTACAAGGCAGTGAGACGATTTGTCCACAAGCTCCCACAGAACTCTCTGACTGCCTCCAGGGTGGCCCTGAACTGGATAAGGACACTCACCAGGGGCACTTTCCGGAGAGAGCCCAGGATTGTGGAGGCCAGGCAGCCCATGGCCGTGAGAGTAGGAAACTCGCCCTCAGAGAGGATGTGTTGGTCCCCCTTGAAGTTCTCCCCATCAAACAGGATCCAGCTGGGGAAGGGAGAGCGGGGGAGGTCATCTGAGCCTACCTTATCCCGGATCAGCCAGACCACGCTGCATCCGAGAGTGGACGCAGAGTTGCTGGTGCTCCCCTAGTCTAGGGAAGGTCAAGGATGAACAGGCACTGCAGCACCAGGGACGGAGGTCAGACTTAACACAGGACTGACGGAAAAGCTACTGCTGCTTTGGAGGGGGATTTGGCAACTTCAAGCAACATTCCATGGGCAATGACTCAGCAATCTCTCATCTAGGAATCTGTCACACAGACACCCTTCAAAAACATGAAAGCCACACACAAGGTCTTGCATTACAGCACTGTTTGCAACAGCAAAGAGTGGAACTGGCCCAGATGTGCAGCAACAAGAGATTGGATAAATGGGCTGGGGATTTAGCTCAGTGATGCTGCTGCCTGCCTCATAAGTGCAAGGTCCTGAGTTTGATCCCTAGTACCCACCACCCCCAAAAAGGAGAGAGATTGGATAAATTACAATTCAGCATTTTTTTGTGTGTTTGTTTTTAACCAGGTTGCAGAATGCTCCCTTTTGTCTAATTGGGGAGGAGGGAAACAAAACGTGTTTGGTTTTTATAGTATATGTAAACTTACATATGAATATATATTTGTTTATATTTTCCAAAAGGAACAATGGAAGAGTAAGACAACTAAGAAAAATGCTTCCCCATAGGGAGAGGAAGGAGAAAAGCAGCAGGGGCAGAAATGGCAGCTGTGGTTTTGGAACTGTTATAGACTGAATATCTAGGCCGCACACCCCCCCATCACACCTGGAAACCTCAACTCCCAAGGTAATGGCATTTCGAGGGGAGCCTTTGGGAGGTAATCAGGTTTCCAAGAGGTCACTAAAGTGGGACCCTGTGACAGGATGTGAGTCCTCCTAAGTGGAGACAGGAGTCCTGCTCTCTCCTCGATGTGAGGACTCAATGCAAAGGTATAGTTCTGCAAGCCTCGAAGAGTCCTCACTGGGGAAATGAATTAGCCAGCATTTTGATCTGCTAGAACTATGAGAAAATTAATTTCTGCTGTTTAAGCCACATGGTCTATGGTACTTTAGGACTGCCACCTGAGCTAAGGCAGGAGCCAGGTAAATTTTTAGACATTTTTATAAAATATATTCTTAGCCTAGTGGCACATGCCTGTGATTCCAGCACTCAAGAGGCTGTGATGGGAAGATTATGAGTTCAAGCCTGGGCTACACAGCAAGACACTGTTTTTAAAAATGTAATTAAAAAATAAAGTAAGACTAGGGGTATAGCTCAGTAGTACAGCACTTGCCTAGCAAGCGTGAGGCCTTGGGGTCAAGGACTGGGGGGAAAAAACTAAATAAAAATGGAAAGTATTCCTAAAAATTAAAGTTAAATCAACAAACCTATCTGTATACCATACTGGTGACATAATTCAAGAGCATGTTCTGAGAAAAAGAACCATAAAGAAACCTCAAACAGTATTCAGTGGTTTTTACTATTATTAGCAGTGTAGGTATTATAATTTTGAAACACCCAGAATGAAGATTCTGGTCTGTAAATACCATCTTCCTGCTAAAAAGAACTACAGTTCCTTGAGAAATGGTTGATTCTAGGCCTAGAGCAAGAAATATATAAAATATAGCCAGGCAAATGGTGCAAGAGTGGAATCCCAGCCCTTGGGAAGCTAAGGCAGGAGTTGGAGTCCTTTCTGAAAAGCTTAATGAAGCTTTCCCAAAAAAAAAAAAAAAAAAAAAAAAAAAAAAAATTTTATTTTTGTTTTAGGGCCAAGGATATGGCTGAGTGGTAGTGTCTCTGGGTTCAATCCCCAGGACTGAAAGAAAAGAAAAACTGAAAGAAAAAGAAAGGTTAAAAGATGCTAGACAGTTGCCAGGCATGGTGGCACACGCCTGTGATCCCAGCACTCGGGAGGCTGAGGCAGGAGGATCGCTGTGAGTTCAAGACCAGCCTGGGCTACATAGTGAGTTCCAGGTCAGTCTTAACTACACAGTGAGACCCTGTCTCAAAAAATAAAAAAAACAAACAAAACAAAAGATGCTAGACAGTCACATGAGTGGACTTCACTTTCCTGTGACCTTCCTGTGAGAGGGTCGGAGAAGTGGCCCATCTTTGGGAGAGGGGAGGGCACTTTCCCATACAGGAAGACGACGAGTGCCTCAGGCCAGGGATACTCTTCTCAGGTGCCTCTGGGTGGCAAATTTTTTCTATAAAAGCAGCAGAACTACAAAAGCAGGTCTGCTTTTGGGATAAAATATGAATTAGTCTAGAAAATAACCTTGACTCTTTTAATCAAATGAACAAAAAACAATCATCTATCTTATTGCTTACCAACATGTAAGTAACAATGAGGAACACACTGTGCTCTACTGCTCCTCTCAGACTGGGCTTCAGCTGCTAGTTATCTGCTACACAGGACTAGTCAACGTTGGGCAAGCAGATTTCCACTACTCTAAAAATCCAGTGGGGCAGAATTATGAGAGAACACCCTGTTTTATTATGAAGTCCCCTAACAGCAAGGTTTTCATAGGTTCAGGAGTGAGATCCACATACTTTGACTATACAAGGCAAAGAGTGTTATTTTTGGTCTCTAAATGATTCCAGAAAGGTTGTTAACACAGCATGTTCCAATCAGAGGCCAACACACAGCAGAAGACTTGCACTAGGGATCCCTAGCTTAGGAGCTTAGGAGGCCCTGCTCTTTAGGGGAGGATACGCAGTCCATAGGGTGGGGACATGGTGGTCTCTGCAGAGGTCCCACAGGTGCTAGAAGAAGGACGAGATGAAGCAGCAGCCCAGACCTAATTCCTCTGTCTGATGTCATCTCAGTGACCCACCTGAGTTACCTGTGGGGCTGCCCAACACTTCCAGGCTTCTGCTGTAGGGGAGTAACAGGAGTGAACACCCAAACAAGGACACCTCACCCTGTGACATGGGTAGATATGTGGTTCCAAAGTGGAAGAAAGTTTAAGGCAGAAAATCCAACGAGAATGTTTGAATATTGACTATTTTCATACAGTATGTGACCTATGTATATAATACAGTGTGTAAAATGGGGGGGGGCAGGGATTTAGCTCAGTGGTTCCGATGCCTGCTTCGCAAGCACAAAGACACGAGTTCGGTTCCCCGTACCAAAGGGGGGAAAAAAGATGCTAGTGGCATTAAGTGGCATATGCCTATTCAGTAGGCTAAGGAAGGAGAACTGCAAATTCAAGTCCAGCCTGGGCAACTGAGTGAATCATTTCAAAGGCGTCCCTCAGCCCGGGCACCCCCAGTGTTCCTCACCTGCCGCCGTGGACCCGGCAGGACTGGGGCTGGAAGGAGGTGGGCAGAGAGGCTCGGTCATCTTCGAAGCAGATATGGTCGCCCAGGAAGTCGGGCCCGGAGAAAAGCTGAATCTGAAGGCAGAAAAGGCGATGAGAGCGCAGGAGGGCAAGGAGCAGGACAGAGGGGCAGGATAAAGGGGTAAGAGCTTTGAAATGAGGGAACCTTTTCGCGGATCGCCACCTTACCTTTGAGACAAAGTGCAGATCGTGCTCCCCGACCTGAAAGAGAGGACCAGTTTCCAGACTCGAGGAGGCTGTCAATCCTTCGCCCCTATTTATTCCTCTAGGTTTCTGTATCGCCAACCCGTTGGTGATTTCGAGGCACTGACCCCGCCCCCAGATGCCCCGCCCCGAGCTGTGTCCACTGTCCC